AATGATGATTTAGTGTTTACTAATTGTGCTGCCAATACATTAGTGACAAAACAACAAACACAGCACCATTTGCTGGACAACTTTGGACACTTGGTATTTCTTGAAATGTGAAGCAAACATTGGACAAATGATTGCTTAACATTGCATATGACCATGGTATGTGCAAAAGGCCATGACCATTCATCAATTACATAACCAAGGTTATGTTGACCCACCACCCCATATACATATTGTAAGCATAAAAATACGCACATTTATTTTTAAGCCATACAGAAGTGGAATCATCAGGCTGAAATATCTGAAGCAGTATACACATCAATTACAAATTGCTGAATTCACACAGATTAAGGACATTTATGTCCACAATTTCAGACTGTGAATGAAAAAGCAGCACTGGGTAAACTTGTTCTATGGTAAATCTGGCAAATCTGAAATAACTTCTTGTTAACATTTATATTTGGGTGAGCTTTTGCTCTCCTTCATTGTGAGGAGGAGCATGGAAATTAGTGTAGGGCTTTATCAGAGGTGCCATCCTTTGGATGAGATATTAAATCGATGACCTCTCTGTCTGTTCGGGTGGACATTAAAGATCCCATGACACTATTCAATAAAAGAAGAGTCTCTCCCTGTGTTCTGGCGAACAGGTCCCCAGATAAAATTAGTCATTGACTTCATGGTTGTCTATGGGATATTTGTTTGTGCAAATTGGTTGCTGTTTTGGCCTACAAAACACAAACACCACTTTACAGTAAATCCTGTGAAGTGCTTTGAGACAATGTAAAAGGCACGATATCAAACACAATGATTATTAGTCACCGCTGTGAGTGACCTTAGAACCACACTGTACTATTGCTGTACCTAGAAGCAAAGGAATTTATGGCACAGAAGACGGCCATTCACTCCAACGTGTCTGTGCAGACTCCTTTAAGAACAATCCTTTCATTCCCAATTTCTTGCCCTTTCCCGATATCCCTGCAGCTCACTCCTTTAAGGTATTTGTCTAGTTCCCTTTTGAAAACAATATGGATTCTGCTTCAACCTTCCCTCCCAGGAGGGTGTTCTATATCCTAAATATTCTGGAGGTGAAAAAAAATTCTCTTCACCTTCCCTTTTGCTCGTTTACATAAATTGAGGCCCTCTACTCACTGACAGCTACCAGTGAAAATAATTTCTCCCTATTGCCTCTATCAAAACATCTCATAATTTTAAAGTCCCATGGCAGGTCATTCCTCAGTCTTCTTTGTTCCAGTGGTAAAAGTCCCAGTTCCTCCAATCTCTGCTCATAGGCCAAACCACTCATCCTCGATATTATCCGAGCAAATCTCCTTTGCAACCCCTCTATTGCTTTTACATCTTTCCTAAGATAGCATTACCTGGAGGCCTTCATATTCTATACTCTATACTCACTATAGCGAACCTGTCTTAAAGACTGATGTGAGAAGCTTTCCATTCCCAGCGCTGATATCCATTTACTGAGGTGCTGCAATATACACCCCAAAAACACCTGGCTTGAATGTAGAATGCAGTGGTGCAATGCTTTGCAGGTAGGACAAAATAAATACACCAACTGAGATCTGTACCAGCATAAAGGGAACTCCTGACACCAACAATTTTCCAGCTTTATCAAACACTTAAAGAGACAACAATCCACAGAAGAGATCTTTTGAAAAGTGACTTTATTGCTATTTTTCTTTATAAAATTACGAACTAACACAAAAAGCATCATGAATGGGCAAAAAATAAAGAACTTGTTCTCAAAGGGTTCATCGTAATGATGATCAGGACCTGATCATAAGGTTGCAAGATGCTAATTCAACATCAAACAACAAGCAGAAACACAACATGTTACGTGTGCGCTGATGAAACCGGGGTTCAGACATGCCTGGAGCATCAGTCACTGCACTTTACAGTAAAAAAAATCCTGTAAAGTTCTTTGAGATGTCTTGACAATGTGATAAGGTGTTTACCAAATGCAAGGAGCATTATTAGATACTTTAGTTCTCAACATCTCTTTTGAACAAAAAGTAAAAAAATATTTCGAGCAGGATCTTTTCCTTCCATTTGAGAATCCGTCACTCTGTTTAAAACACCACCTTGCATTTATATAGTGCCTTTTACACAGGATAGCATCTTAGCTCTGCATAGTGATGGGGTTGGACGCTGAGCAAGGGAGAAGTGGGAGGTGACCCTTTAAAATAAACAGTGGGCCAGGCGGAGGGATTGAGCTAGGAAGTTCCAGAAGTTAGAGGCTTGGTGATCGAAAGCAAGGCCACTGATGGTGGTGCAGAGGGGTCGGGGGATGCAGAGCGGGCCTGTGCCAGATGAGCGAAGAGGGTGGGCAGAGGAGTGGGTGACATGCAGGTACGAACACAAAACAGGACACGGACACTTGATTCGCAAACTTTGAACCCATCCTGTAACTAGAAGTGTGTCTCCAAGCTGATGTTAACAAAATAATTGCTTTTAAAAAACTACCTTGAAGGAGCTATCTGCCAGCACCTCTCAGCTGGTAGAGGCAGCTTCCTGGCACAGGCAGTTCCTGATCCGCTCTCCGCGGCAGGAAGGATGCCACTCAGTATGATTTCCTATGATGGTCTTAGTGTTGAGGCATTGCTTCTTGCTAAATGTAGAGATGTGAAACAGCATGTCTCCAACAGCAGAAGAAAACAAAATAAAAATCCTTTGGTACCGATAATGATTCACAAAAATTAACTTTAGGTGAAAGGTGGAGAGCTCTTCGACCTTGCCTTTGGTCACCTACCCTCTCTGTGCAGCTCAGCATCAATCCACCCGCTGTATGAACCATATATGTATGTGGATGACATTCAACTCTACTTCTCCTCCTCCAGCTGCGACCCTAGTCCTCTGATGTTCTGTCAGTTGAATGTCAACAAGACGGAAGCCATACTCGCTCCTGTCGACATCTTCTGTCCTGCAGTTCCGACCTCAACCTACCCAATTTGTCCTTGAAACTCTCTGAACCTGTGCGCAACTTAGGCGTCAGGTTCAATCCCCAGTTATCCTGCCTCCCCCACATCCGGTCCCTGGCCAGGACCGCTTTCCTCCACCTCCACCACATTGCCCGTCTCCAACAATACCTCACTCAACAAGCTGCCGAAACCCTTGTCCATACCTTCGTCATCTCTCGACTGGACTACTCTAATGTCCTCCTCGTTGTTCTCCCTTCCTCCACTGTTCACAAAATTCAACTCATCCAAAACTCCGCCGCCCGCATTCTCACCCGCACTAAACTCCACACCCTGATTACTCCAGTCCTTGCCAAACTCCATTGGCTCCCTGTCACTTTAAGATCCACACTTCTAGTGTTTAAATCCCTCCACGCCTTGGCTCCCCCCTATCTCTCCAACCTCCTCTATCCTCACAGCACTACCTGCTGCCACTGCTCTACTGGCTCCAACCTCCTCCTTGTCCCTCGAATCCTCCGCTCCACCATCGGCAGCCGTGCCTTCAGCCACTATGCCCTGAAGCTATGGAACACAATCCCTTCGCCTCGCCCCCTCTTTCCCCAGTTTCAGGTTGTGCCTGAAGACCTTCCTCTTCGACCGTGTCTATGGTCCCTTCCCCTCCCCCTGGTTCGGCATTGAGCTCCACCATTGCTAACCGCCCGGATTGAAGGGTGCTATATAAATGCAAGTTGTTGTTGTTTTTGAAAGTTGCTGCACTAATGGCAAGCAAGATCTGCGAGATTTGCTGAACCAGGGGGAGGGGAAGGGACATAATTGTGCAGGTATTACTTCCTGAAGGCCTTTGTTTTGTTTTCTAACCATTTGGCAGATTTCTAAAGCTTCTCTGCTGAGATAGCAATACTCCAGCAGTGATGTACACTTTGTTATTACAATACTTAGATCCAATGGTTGATCCAAGTGTGCTGTGCCAATTGCAGGTGACGGACAACTGAAGGACAAGATGGACTCTCATGGATATCATGTCAATATCATTAAAGAACTGTACCCAAACAGCCAGGAGCAAGTGTGTTTGCAACACGCATGTGGACAAATGCCTCTTGCCACACAAAACTGAATGCCAACTGGTGAGATATCATCACCCAATTTCAAGGGACTTTCATGCATTACAAAACAAGACAAACTACTCATTAAAAGTGATTGTGTTTCATTTGTGAATGTGCACAGCAGTGAGATGGGATAATTATCACAGGCTGTGAATATACAGTCAAGCTTTAAATGTGGAGATTATTATTACATTATTGGACAGGGCATAACCTTTATTAAACAGCATAATTAGCACCAACATGTAAATTCTTAAGATGTGATTGAACATCAGTAATGCTCCAAACGTACATGGTCTTGTGAAATGGAAGGTACAAATCAGATTGTCTTTGGCACTTTCCCAGTATATGCACACACACCTACAATAATAATCATAATCCTTGCATTTGATATAGCGCATTTCATGTCTTCTAGACGTCTCAAAACCCTTCACAGAATATACTGTAAAGTGAATTGAATGTATATTTGTGGGCGAACCGCGCAGCTAATTATGCACAGCAGTGTTCCACTAACAGTCGTGGATTGAGTGACAAAATTATTATTTTATTAATGAGGGATTATTATTAGGCATGTGGAGTGAGGAAACTTGCCCAAGGTTTCACCCTGCCGGGAATTGAACACAGGTCTCTCACTTGTGAGGTGAGTGCTCTAACCACTGAGCTACAGGACTCCAATCCACCTATGTACGCATGATAGACCATGTAAAGCTTGGAAACAAACTACACATTTTGATCCAAGTTATCTGTATATAAAGAAAACTTAAAAGCTGGAAAGACAAACGTAACACTAGATTGGCTTCACATAATATTCATAATTTTCTTTTTTCTCTCCGTTAATTATGATTTTTCTTCCTGTTTCTCACTCTTTGATTTTTTTCTGCTTTAACCTTCGCGGCATTCTTTTCTTCTTGACGTCAGCCTCTTCTCTGTGTCTTTCTTTCATGTTTCACTCACTCTCCCATTCTCTCTTCACTTTTGTTCACTCTTTCTGACTCCAACAAATACACATTCACTACACTTTAATGAAACATTGGGATGTGCTCAGAGATATTCTTGTTGTTTCAGACACTTTATCAAATGCAGCATTATTATTCTTTCCCCAGCTCGAACAGTATTTTCTCTGTCTAACTCTTGTGTTGTCTCCCTCTTTCTCTCTCTCAGCCTTTCTATTTCTCTCTTTATTGCGCTTTCTGTTCCAATACAAATGCCCACCTGGATTGGGAATTTCCTTGGGAGACTATGAACAACAATCTCTGCTGAGATTTTCCAAGAATATCAGAGGCCTTTGGACAGGACAATATATGACAAGGAAAAAGAAGTTTTGTTTTCCCCTCCGTGTAAAAGTATCAGAAATCCTGTTTAATTGGGACTCCCACTTAAAGCCAGAATTGCTGGAGATACCTTGGAGAATTCATACGTTCAACTCATTCTCAATATTTAACTAATGGTTCATTTCAATGATGGTTATAAAATATTTTTGTAACTTAGATGGGTTACATTTTATTCCAAGTCCAAGCTAACCGTGATTCTGGACACTCTTTGACTTAAAGGCAGAGTGAACTCATGTTGGAGATGCTTTCAAAATGCTTGATTTCTGTGTTTTTTCCACCATTCGATAACAACAGGTCCAAGAAGTCTGATTCTAAATGTATTGGAGTGTGAATGTATTGGAGACTGAAAGAGTACAGCTGAATCCCCCACCCACCCACTCCACTTTTCATCTCGGAGTGGCTTCTGTGTAAGAGAGACTTTGTTGCAAAGAAAGAACCAACAGGTCAGGAACCACTGGTGCCACCTGGTGAGGGGGTCGACACAGACACAGTAACAGGAAGTTAGGTGGCCACATGGAAGGAGAAGTGCGTATCGTGTGAAGGAGAGAGACAGCTGCCATTTTATACAGGAACGGAGAGAGAAAAACTCATCCTTGACTCAGAGAGGAAAGGACTGTCTGTTTAAGAGACTCAGAGACACCAAGGCAAAGAAGGAGGGCAGTTCAACAACATACACAAAACAGTCGCCTTTCTCTCCGGAGGAAGGATTGGATTGCCTTTAAATCCGAAGTGTCCCCGGTTGTGTGTATTAACAACTTGTAAATATTATTTTGGTTATTAAAACATTAACTTTATTTTGAGGAATGCTGGTCAGCCTCTTTTATTACATTGTGAGGAACCCATAAACTTACAGAATGCATTGGGATTCTGCAGGCATTCAAACTGAATTCTAGAGTCACAGGCAGGGGTCACACTGCTGTCTTTCCACATTCACTATTTCATTTTATACCACAAGGTTCATTGCAACTGGGTAACAGCCTCAGCATATGGAGCATGTCCACAGATTACAGCTATTGTACCTTTTGTGAGGATGTGAGTGTTTATACAAGTCAGCTGGTCTCCTGTCACGTCAATTCAGAGTTGACCGAACAGAGATTCAATAGATTTCACAGAACCATGAAACCTCATCCAATCAATGTAAACACAGGAATTGACACAGTTGTCAATCCTAGCCTTTTCAGTGTTAATGGATGACATGATATTTTCAGGACAAACTCATGATATCAAGAACAGACAAGCACAGGTGAGTGAGTGCACACACAGTCAGGGTAGTTAATTGGGTAATTTGAATCTGCAGGGAAGCTTTATAGACTTTTCTCCATGTACGATTACAAAAAGAGGACACATGACAGTGATGGTGAGCTAAGTAAATATCCAGGATCAAACTACATAGTTCCTGCCCAAATCACTGACAACCATCAGATTATCTGTCTGTACAATGCATTCTGTTCGGTTATGAACTACTAATGAAACTCTCACATTCGTACAATTCAAAACAGTGCTTATGATTCTTCTCATTGACCACCTTGGGACAATTGTTAATGGATAGCGCACCAATAAAGAGAAAGACAAATCTCTTCCTCCCTCTCTTGGCTCCACAGTGGTCTGATGCAGGATCAAGGATGCATGAAGACACATACACACACAAGTCCACAGTCACACAAGTACTCCCTGGCTGCTCATGGTTACAGCTACCCCTGTGCACTGCTCAGTTCTACCTCACATTCTCCCAAGAGCTGCTGCAGGCTCTGACTCAGGGAATGTTCTTTTCCGTGGGTCACCTTCAGAATGTCAAAGGCCTGGTGGGACAGAAAATAGGAACAAGTCAACGTCACTTGCCTCCTCCTCCCCCTCCCCAATCCCAAACACACACACAGCCCCATCTGCAGCTTCTCCCTATTTTGCAACACTGATTATTTCCTTTGAATGACAGAGCAGCAAATGAGTTGTACAAATTTAACCTTGTACTAACAAATAAGTCTTTGAACAGCCATTTCCTTCATCTGCATGAGATCAGGCTGCAAACGCTGAGCGCTACACAAGCATGAAATATTATGCAAATTTATACCTTACCCAGCACCACAGCATAAATGACAGGTAATAACTCGCGTGCTGCATTTGTAACCCATATCATATTAATTTTTGCTGCATGTGATGAAAGACAATGGGTTTGGAATAACTATTAATACCTGGCACCTCACAATACTAGTGCAGCTTTTAAAAATAAATTCCTGATTTATTATTCTGTTAATAGTCTTCAATTTAGCAACATTCCATCTGTGGCAATTAACCTTCGAATTAATTCTTCAACAGACAGAATGAGAGAGGAAAGATGAGGTATGAGCAACACTTCATTCTTTTCAAGGTCCAGGTTATCAAGAATCTCAACCCCTGAGATGACCAGGGGCCGTTTTATTATATTTTGAAAGTTAATTAGAGACTAATGTGCAATTCCTTTAAATCCTCTATGATTCTACTCTCCTGATTTATTGGTTTTGACAATCCAGAACATTAAATTGGTGCGAGATTGTTTAAGGTGTATTTAACCTGTTAATAGATTTAACTTGCAGTATTTCATAACAGATTTAGTATATAAGAATAACCCATGGATTTGATGTTGAGAGGTCTCAAAGCACTTCACAGAGTTTTTCTGCAAAGTATAGTGACTGCATATTTGTAAGCGGACCCAGTAGCCAATTTGTATAGAACAAAATACCACAAACAGCCATGAAGTGAATCCCAATTTATTTTTAACCAGGGGATCATTGGGCAGGACATCAGAAGACACCAGGAGAAACTTATTTTTTTGAATAGTGTGATGGGATCTTATTGTCCAATTGAACAGGCAGACCGTTTGCTATCCTTCCGATAATAATAATAATAATCCTTGCATTTGATATAGCGCTTATCACATCTTCGAGACATCTCAAAGCGCTTCACAGAATATATTGTAAAGTGAATTGACTGTATAATTTGTGGGTGAAACATGGCAGCCAATTACGCACAGCAGTGTCCTACAAACAGCAGTGGATTGAGTGAGCAATTTTTTTTGTCTGATTCCATATCCTAGGCAAGTTCATTTTTGCAGCTCAACACTCCCCTCCCGATAGCACACTGACCTGCTTTAGTGTGTCCAATGCTTGGCTCAGCATTCCCTGATGGTACTGCAGTTTACCTACTTTCATTAGCTGCACTCCTCTCACAGGATGCGGACCTGAGTAATACAACCTGTAATAATACAGAAAGAGAGAACAGATCAGATTCAGCTCTTATATCAATAAGAAGGCCAAACATACCTCATGATCAGGAGGTTTATCAGGAACATTGTCAAATTTCTCCATGTGAAACCGACTGGATAACTGGTCACTAATAGGTTACACGGCTCAACGACGTGAAAAGGCGCTATATCAAATGCAAGGATTATTATTACTAATAAATTATGGTCAACTCACAAGGCCAAGTCGTTCACTCTACAAACATACCATACACAATACTGCAAAAATATCAAACAATTAAACCAAGCTTGTGCAATGACCAGCAATCTACCAGCCCGTCATCATTCCAGTATTTGTTCAGAATCAGCTGTCTTCAGCAATGAGATTTGAGCACATTCAGGGAAAAGCACGACTATAGGGTTAAACTCAGCAAGATCAAACTCGGGCAAACATGACTGAACAGAACAAATACTTAAGCAGCAAACGGTTTGGCGGCCAGTTGTACCACATAGTGTTTGGGGTCTAATTCTGTGAGGTGCCTTGAGAACCCATTTTCAAGTGCCCATTTTCACTGACGTCTAGTTTTCCTCCTGAAGGATTCTGACACCTGGTTTTGTTTTCCTAACCTGCAGGGCTGCGTGTTCCCCCTGGGGTTTCCCACACGTCTGATCTGTCAGGCCAACAAGCAGTAATTCTGTTCAGTGAAAGATGTGCTGCTCAGGGCAATAAGTGCTCTACTGAATAGTACATAGCTGCTGTGGTTCAAAGAGACGTTGTCCTCAAGAAAAGCATTCTAAATGAGCCCTTGCGTATTTGTTAACAAGCAAATGGCACGGTGAAGACAACTGTGTTAAAGACATTGTCACATGATTTGCTTGTGATGAAAATGATGGATGGTTCCTCTCTTATTTCAAACCGAAAGATGTTTGTGAAGCATTTTTCAAAAAAATAATTGACGGTTCCTATCCCCTTGGCGACCAATGGCTACGTCTATCGCTGTCCTCCCACATGTTGGGAGTTGTGGGATTACACTGAATGTACTCCCAAACTTTCATGGCTTATCGATAATGTGGATTCTGAGGATACCAACTCTCCCCCCAGGAATCTGCTACACATGTAATCTGTAATCCCTAGCTGGGCCACAAGACCCACGGTGCTTTGAACTATTTTATTCTCAACTTCTCCTGTGGCATCGCCAAGTGTTCAAACCAAGTACCAGATCGCCCTCAACAATGGCACTCAAAATGGGCAGCCGTCTGTCAAAGTGGAGGGTGGTAACAGACTGCAGATGAAAAAGCTCCATACAGAATCCAATAAGATATGGAGTACATTGTTGTATTCTTGGTCCTTGTTTGTTGCATCCCCTGCTCTCTGGAACTCCATCTCAGAGTCCTTCTGACTCGTTCCCTCCCTCTCTTCATTCCAGATGCATTGTGAGATGTACCTCTTTTACCGTGCTTTTAGTCATCTTTCTTCTACCCAACCCATTAATCTCTACCCCATTTACCTCCCATCACCAACTCCGGTGCCCAGCCAGCAGCGTTAAGCATTTTCAGTCATCCTCTCAATGTACAAGGCGCTGTGTAAATGTAACTTGTATTGTATATTTGTAACTTTCTTGATTTGGCAGAAATGGAGAAATAACTTGACTGGAGGTTGATTGGCAGCTGTTCAGCCAGTGATCTTGCAGTGCGGATTCTCTCAGCTCTTTGAGCTCATCTCCGCATCAACAGATGTCAATGGTGACCTAGTACACAAGAGAGTGGCCACTTTGGCTTTCTGTGGACCAGACAGCATTTTGAAGCACCGCATGAAGCTGGTCGCTTTTCTATACAGATGCTCAGTGAGTGCCCAAGCACTGACTGGCAATCACACCCTATTATAGTGCCAGTTGGGATCTTATGGAGCCTAACTGCTGCATAATAGTAGGGCTCCACTGTTTGTATGGAAATTTCCCTGTGTCTGGAATGGAGTGCACACACTCTGCCCACTCTACCCTTCTCACCTAATCCCGGAATATTTTAGATGCAGGTTGGTGAGTGCCCCAAGGTTGGGGACTCCAGAGTGTGTGTTAAGGCACTGCTGGAGTTTAAACAACTAAATCTTGCTATTACGAATACAGTCTGGCAACCTTCCTGCTGCTTCAAGCTAGGACCATTCAACCCATTGGGGCTCTGACTTGTAGGTTACAAAGAGCTGAATAGGAAGAATCTCTCCTATCAGTAACTGGTCTGTTCCTCCAAGGGCTGCTAATGAGCGAGGCTGGCTGGTATGTTGTCGGCAGTGCCCTGGATTACTGTGGCTATGAGTTGACCCAGGCCGCCAGAGGATTAACACAATTCCGATATTCCATGTCACCTTACAGCCAGTTCAGCCCCAAATAGACCTGTCCTACCTCCCCTCTGCTCCCTGGGAGGATAGTCACTTGTTGGTCATTAATCATCTGACAAGCGCAGGTTTGAGCCCTCACTACTTGGGTAGCTGGGACCAACCTCTTGGTGAGCAGCACAACCTCAGCTTGAAATTTGTGCAGCATTAATAACCAAGATTTACATGCAACATTGGCCATGTAATACAGATAATCCAGTACTACGTTTGAACACGAAAAGTACGAGGGAGGAGATACCGCATTGGTTTAGCCTCCGATGAGCAGAATCAGAACATCCAGCAACCAATGGACTTTTTAATTAGTCCCTGAACTGGAAGGCACGGGCACTATTGAGATAAATTGAATGCTAAACAGAATTAACAAAGCACCTTTGTGCTGTAACCAAGCACCTTGTGAAAACAAACCTCTGTGATGATACTATGTGTATGTCAGGATCACAGTCTGCCCATTTCCCCCATGGAGTCACACATTTTACTGAGCACTGGGGAATCGCCACGCGCCGCTGATGCCAAGCAGTTGTTCCTTTTAAAGTCAGTAACAGTTAGTAAATGAAAACAGGCAAGACATTTAATAGCCTCCAGCTGCTGCCCGAGTGGTTATTTATAGAAAAAAGACATCAGATGCTCACCGGTACAGAACTTCAATCATTGCAACATGGAGGCTTGCTCAGGATAACTTTCAGTGTCTAGTTCAGAGCCCAAAAAACCCTCAGACTGCAGGGTGAAGTCAATCCCACCAAAAATATAAAGTGATTCTTCTACTTATCTCAGATAGGGATGTCCTCCCAACGTGAAAGGTGCTATATAAATATAAAGTTGTATTGTAATTTGTATCGGAGCAGATACACGGCTGATCCGAAAAAAAGCAAGGAAGATATTATAAGCAAGAGAAATACTCCCACACATTGGAGTATTGAAGCCTTAGACAATTTTGGATTTCTTCTAGATTTTTTGAGGGGAAAATAAGTCTTTGACATGAAAGAGAAAACGGAGCTTCTTGGAGGCCAGTTTTATAATGGAAGAGATACAAAGGACTGAATGTCATGAGACCAAGGAGAAAGCAATAAAAATGAGAGCCTTGTGGTTCTTTTCTTTGCTTCCTTCTCCTCTAAGGCATTGATTCTTATTCATGGTTCCACAGGAGTTGGCAGTCAACTCCTCACCTACAAGCCTGATAATCTTCACCCACTATTCATGTGTAAACTTTTCTGAAGTCTTTAACGAATAATGATCAGGAATGGAGACTTGAGCAGATTTTTTGCTCCCTAACCCAAGGCATTGAGGCCAATTGTATCCCTTCCCCTCAACAGCTTCCAATCAGGTGGTGCTATCAAAACAGCCTGGAGATCAAGGTCTAGCAATACACTATCAATATACCTATACAAACAGCCATGATGTGAATGACCAACTACATCTGGGAGGACACCGGGAGAAACTCCCTTCTCTTTTCAAATGGAATATTTAATGGCTTAATATCTCATCCAAAGGACGGAACGACCAACAATGCATCGCTCCCCCCAAAATTGTACTGGAGTATCAGCCTAGACCACGCAAGTTCAAAGTCCCAACATGAGGCTTGAACCCACAATAACAACAACAACTTGCATTTATAATAGCGCCTTTTACGTCAGGTAGTGTCTTGGAGCAATGCAAACCGGTGTAGTTTGATGCTGAGCTGGGGAGAAAGGGGAGGTGATCTTAGGCATGGTTGAAGAGGAAAGTCATCAGGTGCGACCTGAAGGAAGGCAAAGGGACTGAGGCAGGGAATTCCAGAGGCTCATCTGTAGTGGCTAAATCAACAGCAGAAGCTTCTGAAAAAAGTGTGTCAGAGGATGAAGCAAAACAGGAGAAAATGCCTTGAAAGGATACTTATAATAATCCTTCCATTTGATATAGCGCTTTATCACATCTTCGAGACGTCTCAAAGCGCTTCACAGGATATACTGTAAAGTGAATTGACTGTATATTTTGTGGGCAAGATGCAGCAGCCAATTGCGCACAGCCGTGTCCCACAAACAGTCGTGGATTGAGTAACCAAATTATTTTTTTAAAAAATGTAAGGGAATATTACCCATGAAAAAGTGATCCGCCAATCAATTAATAACCGGGTTCCTATGTGCTGCCTGATAGTGGAAGTCCATAGATGTCAACCTGTCTAGAAGCGGGCTTGGAGATGTCCAAAGGAATAACATAGGTCATCAAAGTGTTTAGTAGTGGTGATCTGGTGTGTAACACAGACAGGAAGGTTAAGCAGTGATACTGTAAACCTGGCTGGAGATCACAGAATAGGCCAGAAATTCCAAGATGAAAGATAACTTGAGTTGACAGCAGCCTCCATTACTTCAGATTACATTCATTGAGTTCATTTGTACATGCTCTGAACACCGGGGACTCTGGACCAATCTCTGGAGCACGCACTTACCTAATTAAAACTCCTATTGTTCATCCCCAACATTACATTTCCGATTGTCTGGCCAATTCATAATCCGATTTAGAATTTCCCACAAGCTTTCACATCAGCCTCGAGTCCCGTGTGGTGGACCTTATAAACTATTTGCTGAGCACAAGAATCTGCAACATTTGCCACATTAACATCATCCATCAACTTTGCTACATCCTCACAGA